TGTGTTACATTGAATTACAAGTTATATTACGAGTGTTACTGGCAACAGACTGTGGTTGACTCTGAGTTTAGTGCAAATAAACCTGGACTTTTAAGTAAATAATCATTTAACACAAAATAAAAGTGATGTAAAGGCTGAGAAAATAGCATTTGAATGAACCATTATGAAAAGTTTTAAATTAGAGTTGTTTTATAACTTCATTAAACCTCTTTGGTCCTGCTTAAATTTAAACTGAGCACTTTTAAAAGAAGTTCTGCCTGATTTTCTAAACTGGCGATGCCCTGAGGGATTTCTACACCAGGTAAGATATTGATTACTAATAAAAACTCCATGGATCACCAGTTTAAAAAACAAATCTTTAATTATTCCTTTAGAGCAACACATTAGCAGACATTTGAAAGGCTGTTTGTTGCGTTGTGATGTTTAAAGACTTAAGTCTTGTTTAATCTGTGTCGGTAGTGGCAGGATGTGCAGGTGAGTTACTGTGACCCACTAACTTTTGACTCCTCAGCCAGAAACGTGAGGGTGAATGAACACTAATCTTCATGTTAAGCCTTAATGCTTGCACCAGCAGGTGGTGTGTGTGTGTCTGTGTGTATGAGTTCAGGGTTATCTTAAATGTGAACTGAGGCAACAAAAACCTTTTGTGCATGTGTTTCTGAGCTTCATATTTTCTTGATGAGATGTACAATATGTTTATTACAGCCTTGGTTCTGTACATAAACATATAGACTTTACATTGTGAGACGCAGCAGCCGAAACCGGCTCAGATTTACAGCGGTCTCCCGAGGGGCTTTTCCAGTTGTATAATGTGTGTGGTAAAAATATTTGTACACAGGTTAGAGGTGATGAAAAATGTGATTCTGTAAAGGGCCTGAGGGTGAAATTGGACATTCGTGAGGGGATTTTTCTGAAACAGAATCGTCTCTTTCTGGTCTGATTGGAGGGTTTGGGTTGTGATATGCGTGGGAGTTTCTGGGGGCAGGGTGTGGCCTGGCTGAGGTAGTGATATCCTGTCAGAGAGCTGAAACTGATGGAGGACTCTTTGTAACCTTGAGTTTATAAGAAGCCTGTGAGTGCGGTGCAGATGGAGAGACAGCTGCAGCTTTGTGTCCAAACACTCCAGGCCAGCCTGGCCTTTACTGATGTGCAACATCAGTTTCTGACATTAAAACATCACAAATAAGGTTTTAATAGGATTTCTTGTGCCTAATTTGTTTCTGCGTGTGGACATGATTGGTTGAGTTTCATTTAAAAGGAAAAAAGAGAATAAGCTTCAGCTGCCACAGGTATTGATCAGTTCCCGATCAATACCTGTTAACGACAAAGGTTGTCAAATTGGCTGATATCCAACAATTAACCCCCACAGATTTTAAACTAGCTGAAAACACAAATGGGATTAGTTCAGGAATTTTTATACAAACGCATAAAAAAAAATGTAATCCATAAGTTTGTGTTAAGAAAAATTGGAGTTAAGCTCAATATGAGCTTTAAATTTGTAATAAATGAACGAGTGCTGCCTTTAATAATCAGCTGGAAGCGTATTGTCAGAAAGATTAATTGTAATACACTCATGCAGCAACACATTACAGAACAGCAGGTCGTGAAGGGTTAGCAACTCAGGATTTCTTGGTCTGTCGTTCACTGATTCATATTTAATGTGAAAGTTACTTAAAATTGTGTATGTGCTGACTCTGCTGTGTCTGATTTGTGTCATTTAGGTGTGAACCTTTAGAGTTTTTGTTGTAAGATTACAAATCACCCTTGTCAGTAACCGGAGCATCTGTAATGCCGTTGCGCTTTATTTGCTCTGGTATTTTCTGGTATATTTGTAGCAGATTCACAAACAGTGAGAACCGCTGCACAACATACTGAAAATGTGGTGTCATTTCATTGTGAACATGCACAATAAGTCTTGCAAAGGATTGCATCAATCATCGGCTATTTTTCAATTTTGATGGAATCTCAGCCCCTTTCCTGCCTACACCTGTTTTTCATGATAGTAGCCAAGATGCTCACAAAGGATGACTCTTTTGGTGCTTTTTTCTCTTTCGGCAGCCATTTTCAGCTGGAGTCGCCACAGTTAATGAACTTAAATGAAAGATTTAGCAATTGTTTTATGCCAGATAAAGCCGGATTCTGGTGCAATCTGGGCTCAAACCTACAGCCTCAGAATTACGGAACCACAACAATGACCACCGGGCTACTGCGGCCCCAAAGGCTTGATGTCATGATGACAAAACAGAATGAGAGGGAATAAAAAGGTTTATTGCAAGTGATATTGTGAATTTTAACAATATTGAAACACCATGTTTATTTTATCATGATAATGATTAATAGAGGTTGTTTTTTGCTAAAGTTTTGAAGTTCATTATATCTTTTAACTGTTTTATAATATTGAACCAAAATGGGTTTTTAAGCCTTAAACTAATCAAAAGCAGTAAACCAAGTTAAAACTAAAGGACTATTTTGTGTAGATCACATGTTTTAAAGGTAATATCTGTGGACTTTCAGTCAATAAAGCACGAGAAAATCCACATATTAAGATTTGAAACTTAAACATTATTTTCTGGTCATCATATAGTTCTGTTTTCAGATTAGTTTGGGAAGCCTTTTTGTACGTTTAGTCAATATTTGGATACTTTCTGATTTGTGTTTTTTCAGGTACTTCCTATAATTATTAACCAGAACAAAAAATACTAGGTGGTTTTTGTTGTTGTTTTTGGATAACTTCCTGTTTTGTTTGGCATTTAGCTTTTGTTCTACTTAGACAGGAAAACTGTCAAAAATCTGACTGTATGCTTGTTAAAAAAAAACCTAAAAGGACAAAACTGTTTTGTAATTAAATTTTAGTTCTATGGTTTACTCCATAAATACAGCTACATTTCATGTCCAGTCGAGTGAATTACATTAATTTAATCTGAAGTATGGCAGCAGCTGGCAGGGAGGAAAGATTAAGATTTAAAGATGGTTGAAAGTTAAAAACACGTAAATGAGTCGAGTTAATAAGCAGTTTGAGTTTATCAGTGACTGTGAGATGGTTTCTACGTGCAGCGTGCAGTGAATCATTGGGTTCCCCACCTAATGAGTTCCCAACAAAGAATGCCAATAAAAGTTTTAGGATTGTTTAAACTCCATTAAGAGGAATTTAAGATAAGATAGGGTTTCTTTGAAAAGATGATGGGAGTTTCTTTAACAATGCACAAATAATCTCAATTAGGTTGAGAATTAATGAGGGATGGAGGACGTTAGGGCCTTTTGACCTCTACAGGACACTCACAGTACTATACAGCAAAAAAGTTTATGGCAAATGTATTTATGTTTTCTTCATGTATTTGCTTCAGTTCTGTCTGTATGTTTGAGAGGGTGTTAAATTATTTAATTGAGCAGAAGAAACTTGACGTTTTTACATTTGCACTGGTAGAATTTTATTAATGGCACTTTAGGATAAAAAAAATTGAAAACTCAACAAATGTGTATTGACTGAGCTCTAACATTTTAATCATTAATGGTCAAGAGGAGTGAAACTATCTGATACTTCATGTCCAAAATCGCTCTCAAAGCTACACACTTAATAGTGACATTGTAAAAAAAAGTGTTTTGATGTGGGAAAGTGAAGCAAACAAAGTCAGACTGAGATGAAACCTCAGCTGTTCTCTTTGCTAATGTTTTATACTGTTTTTAATTTAAGGATTGTTGCATTTTTTTAGTGGAAATTCTGGTTAAAAATCCAGATAATCAAATTCTGAGCTTGTAAAAAAGCATAGATTCATCATTTTAAACATTTTAAGCAAAATTTGCATATTACCATATTTTCCGCTGTACAGGTCGCACCGCCCTATAAGTTGCATCAGTCCATATATGTCTAATAAAGTGGGAAAATCCATAAATATGTCGCTTCGCCGTATACGTGGCATCTATGTCACCATCGACGCATCGCGTTTGTTACGCGTCACCGCTGACAACCAGGAAATGTGAACCGGTGTTGTTCCAAAAATCAACTGGCTGCCAAATGGCGGCCGCAGGGGCGTGCACAGGAGGACTTTAACAAGAATTTAACAAGATTAACACTTAAAAACAATTGTTTGTTTGCTCGACTTTATAGTAAAAGTGTGTCTCACTTGAACTTTTCCTTAATAAATGCACTTTGATCAAATCAGCTGCATTTCACCATGGCGGCGCAGCAAAATAAAGCTGAGTTGATGTTTGCTCCAGGCAGATGAAGGTGGCAGGCTGTGGCAAGCCGAATGTGTCACTAATAGCTACTTTTACTTATTACTTAATACAACGGCATGCCATACTGCTCGACTGCCTTCTAGCGGCTGTAAATGTTAGTTTTCAATATTTTCAATCAGAATGAATGAAAACAATCATATCTTTGCCAAAAGTTGGTTTATAAATATGGGGAAAATCCATAAATATGTCGCTTTGGGCCGCACGGTGGCGCAACTGGTAGAGCTGCTGCCTCTCAGCGAACAGGCCCCTGGTTCAATCCCCGGTCCAGGGGCCTTCTGGGTGGAGTTTGCATGTTCTCTCCGTGCATGCGTGGGTTTTCTCCGGGTACTCCGGTTTCCTCCCACAGACCAAAAACATGCATGTTAGGCTGATTGGTAACTCTAAATTGTCCCTAGGTGTGAGTGAGAGAGTGAATGGTTGTTTGTCTCGTTTGTCTCTATGTGTCCCTGGGATGGACTTGCGACCCGTCCAGGGTGTACCCCGCCCTTCGCACAGTGATTGCTGGACATGGACACCAGCGACCCCCATGACCCAAAATGGAATAAAGGGTAAAGATAACGGATGGATGGATGTCGCTTTGGCGCATAAGTCGCAGGGAATGCAAATTGTGCAAAAAAACTACGACTTATGGGGCGAAAAATACAGTGCACTTGTAAATTGCTTTGACACAATCATCTGAATTTGCTTCGCATGAAAAGTTATTTTGCAATATGTAATGCTTCATCAATGCTTGAATGATGTTTGTATTTGTTTCCTTTCTTCAGATGAGATCATGCAGCTGGATATGAATCCTCCCCACGCGGCCGACATCAAGGCTGATCTCAGAAAGCAGTTTGCCTTCCTTTCAGGTAACACTTTCATATTCCCTGACACCATCACTTGGATTATAACTGGTCCAAATTTGCATAGTTCCTATATACAGTTTTTTTTTCCACAGTTAATATTTGCTATTCAAATCAGTTCTTTTCCTCTTCAGATCGTCGCTGGCGTACCTGCTGTCAATTAGCTGATAAAATATATATCGCTGAAACGTCTCTAAATATTGTCCATAAGCTTTAAGTTTAACACAACTACTGCATTTTTTGAACTGCTCTTTCTGCACAGCGACCTTGTGGGTGCAGAAGAGTCTGGAAACATTTTGTAGAATTCAGGCAGACGTTGAAGCCATGACGGTGCACTTGCTGTTGCTATGGTGACGAGAAAAGAAAAGGCAGGCAGATTGATATTCTGGTCACATGGGCTGACAGAGCAGCTGTTACATGCAGGGAGAGAGATGGTGTGTTTACTTTGTAGGTAAGAATATGAAGGTCAATAACAGGTGCTGTGTGCAAGCAGCAGCATCTCTCTCGAAATTATTTTATTTTCACTTTTGTTGTCTGCTCTTGTATTTCATTTTAAATTTAACATTTTGTATTTGTTACCAAAGTAATGACTTCATGCCTGTATTTTACATCCATGAGCAGATAATAAAATGTGTTTGCTCCTAAAAAAGGGAAGAGGAGGTCAACTTTTAAGTGTGCATGTGTTTTAAACAAGAATCAACTTTCCTGGCATCTGCCTGTAAAATTGGATCAAACATTTCTTAAGATGCACATTAGCAGATTATAAACTGTAGCACCAAATCACAACGGAAGTTGTCTCAGGACACTGTTCAAAAGCATTTGCATACATGCAAAAGCCAGTTAGTAAAAGTTCTCCATTTAAGGAAGCAGCAGGTTGTGTTGAATCCTCATTTTGTCACAGTCTCCCATCCTGAGCAAACACAAAGGCAACAGTGGAAAGGAAAAACTACCTTTTAACAGAAAGAAACCTCCAGCTGAACCAGGCTCAGGACAAGCGGCCATCTGCTTTGACTGGTTGGGTTTGAGAGGAACAGGAAGGAGAGACAAACAAACACAGAATGGCAGGTCCAGGTGCAGGTGCAGGTGTACCCTCTATTGGAAGAAAGACAAAAAATGCACGTCAAGGATAGAAAAAATTACAAATACAAAGCAGTTAAGTAAAGACAGAGCAGAGTGAAGAAATGTGGCCAGTTTGTTCTCCAGCAGTCTAAGCATATAGCAGCATAACTAAAGGATAGCTCCAGAAACCCAAGCCAACCCTAACTATAGGATTTATCAAAAAGGAAAGTTTTAATCCCAGTCTTAAAACTGGACAACGTGTCAGCCTCACGGACAGAAACTGGAAGTTGGTTCCACAAGAGAGGAGCCTGATAACTGAAAGATCTTCCTCCCATTCTGTTTTTGGAAACTCTAAGAACCACAAGTAAACCCAGTCTGAGAGCAAAGTGCTCTGTTAGGAAAATATGGAACAATAAGATCTGTAATATAAGATGGAGCTAGGTTGTTGAGAGCTTTGTAGGTTAGAAGTAAGATTTTAAATTCAATTCTGGATTTGACAGGGAGCCAATGGAGAGAAGCTAAAACTGAAGAGATATGATCTCTTCTATCAACTCTCATTAAAACTCTGGCAGCAGCATTTTGGATCAGCTAGAGACTTTTTAAAGAAGTTTTTGGACACCCAGATAATAAACAATTGCAATAGTCCAACGTAGATGTGATAAATGCAATGATCAGTTGTCTGAATCCCTTTTAGACAAGATGTTTCTAATTTTAGTGATATTATGCAGGTGGAGGAACGCAGTCCTGGTAAAGTTTTTAATATGGGGGTTAAAAGACATGTCCTGATCAAAAATAACACCAAGATTATTAACTTTAGAACTAGAGGCCAAATTAATGCCATCCAGAGAAAGTGAAAGACTGCAAAGTTTATACCTAACATGCTCAGGTCCAAAGCCAAAACCTGTCTTGTCTAAACTTAAAAGCAGAAAATTAATGGTCATCCAAATTTTATGTCTTTAAGACATGCTTTATTTGCAGTTTATTACAATCAAAGAAAACAGCTTTGTGTAAAAAGAGTACTAACCTGTAGCTGTCAGATAAAGTAGGTCTTTATGCTTTATGTTTTTTGTTTGATTTGAATCCACCTCTCACGTTGCTGCCTCCTTGTGGCTGCTGATTCTTTTGACTTTTTACTGTAATTAATCAGTTTTTTTATATATAAATTCATAATCAGAACCCCCTGACTGATGAACACTGAGACCAATATGATAGTTTCAATGTTTTGTTTGTTAGAAATGTTGTGTTTTGAATCTGACACTGTTGCCTTGTTTTAGACAAGAGAAAGGTTAAAAGATTTACACACAATAAATTATGTTCATATAAGTTTTTTTAATTTTTAACTTTATCTTTTTTATATTTTTTTAGGTGGTAGAGGAGATAATGGCAGTCCAATTATTGTATTCCCAGAATTCCCTGCATTTGGTGAAATCACAGACAGAGAGTTTAACAATGTCCTGACCTACCTGACCAGTGTGCCCAGGTAAGAACACCTTGTTGTTGAATCCATACATCAGTCTGAGCTTGTCGCTCCTTGTATGCCTATTTATTCTTTAATTTCTTACTTCTTGTCATTGTCTGTTATCCGTTTAGGTTTTTGGAAGATATATTAATGAAAGAAATAAGACACGCAGCTTAAATAATTTAAAACAAAAGTAGTAAAGGATTCGACAAATTTCCCTTTTAAAAATAAAAATACTTGTAGGTGGCGATGGATTTCCAAATTCATGTGTAAAATAAGGATTTTGATTCTTGTATTAATTCAATAGTTAAAATGTTCATTAATCATCAGTTCAGTTTTTGTACACAATTATCAGACAAGATGAGTGAGGGAAGTTAAATATATCAGACTATTATTTCACATAAAAAACATTTGTCATTTTTTATATACTGTATCTTCATACTGAGTAGAGCTCTTCAGTTTGTTGATGTTCATGTCTGTGCTGTCCTTCTTGCATCCTGCAAAGTGAGTAAAAATAGAAACTGCAGTGAGATGGACCAGCTGAATCTGAATAATGCATTCAGACAGCTCAGCAGAGCTCTGTGTGAAGAAAACGCTGTAACTCACATCAACGCTTGCTTCCACAGACTGACATGTGTTTGAGTGCATTTAGATAAAACAAAGTAGGTATATTACTTGATTTTTAGTTGTCAAGATAGTTCCTATTTAGACTGGTCCTATGGATTTGATCTGCTCAGAGATGGGATTATAATGAAATTATGACCCGGTTCTGACTGGGTTAAACTGAGCCAGCAAACTCTTGAGAGAGTCTCCCTGGGATTTCAATATCTGTCAATAAAGAGTTTAATCTGCTTGCCACATCACGTAGGGAGGCTTTGAAGCACCGTCTCATATTTTTCCTAACACGTCAGTACACATAAGACCACACTTAGTCACGCCCCCTCATACACTGATAGACTGAGCTCCCCTTCTGAGAAATGAGGAGTCATAGGACCCCATAAATTAGTGATGACACGGGACTTCAGGGCTCTTCTGGGTCTGTGTACGCGTGACATGGTCCGAAGAGTCCAGCGGTGTAAAACTGTAATCTTCTCCTGCCTTTTTTAATATAATTGATAAAACTTAATTGACATTTCCTTGATTTATTGATTAGTATAGTTGCCACTTCTGAGGGAGGTTCGAGCCGGGGGTAAAGACGTGGGCTGGAGTGAGTTTCCGGATCCGGTGGCCCGCGGCCAGCTCCCATCTTTAACAGTTGGTGCCGTGACCCGGATACAAACCGGGGTTGCTTAATGTATTTTACTTTAAATAGTTAATAACAAAGTGAATGCATGGTATTTACTTATTTACTAAGCTTACTAAGAGTTATGTCTACACCCACACATACACACACACAGATGGCAGCACTGCAGATGTGAACAATTTTAACTGTTCTCCTTCTGGACAAAGTCTGTGTTAATAAGTAACTCCAGATGTTGCTGTAATTAGCAACAAGTTATATATTTATATATAGTCGTACTACACATTAAGATTTACTCTTTGTACACTGATTGTTGGGACGTACTTAATCCTTTTAGTTTTGGAAAAGTGACCTGATGACCTGATAAGTGTTCCAGCAAATACAGTTGTGTCCCTGCAAAGCACAATTTCTCCATCTGTACATGTTTTTGTTATGTTCGTGGCTTCCTTCATGTGTGATTGTGCACAAAAATTATGCTGACTCCTTTAAATGTTAAAGACAAGCACCAAGATATCTGGACAGAATGAAATGTTAATATCCAGCACACTCATTTATGCTCTGCTGAGCACGACAGATGAGAGTGGGTGTAGCAGGTTTTGTGTCTTTCTCTTGCAGCGCCGTCGGACAAAGCTTTTTGCAACTCCAGGTGCACAGCTACACACACATTAATTCCAATCATCATTATTTTTCACAAAATGCACACTGCTGCACCACAAATAACTGCAGCTCCAGATAATTACAACACATCTTCATGAACCACACTTTGGTTTTGATCCTGCTCCAACCTTTTCATGAGTCTGGTCAGAATTAAACAACGTTTCTCTAAACAGAAGTTGTTCATAGAGATATCTACAACAGGGAAAATATAATTTGTTCATAATCTTTCCACTGAACCCTACTTCAAAAGATCTAAATTACCCCTGTGCATCACAGCCTGTCTGTAGGGGTCTATAACAGCTTGGTCAAATCTATATGAGCCACTACCATTAGACAGAACAGATAAATAATGTTCTAACTGAAAATGTGTTGGTTATAATATAGTAATAGCACAGGACCAAAATCATAACGTCTGATTCTATGTATTCTGCAAAAACCTTCCTTGCACGTCAGCTATAATAAATGCACTGGAAGCAAATGTTTTGTTCTGCTCCACCCCCCTCCTTTTCTTCAGCAGCAGCAATATGAAGCAGTTTGTGCTTTTAAAGGTTCAGCACTGGTATACGTCAAGTAGAATGTCGTAAAACAGGGATGAAAGAGATCATAAAATATAAAAAAATGGAGGAAAGAAGCAAAAGAAAAAGATAGCTGTGTCTGGAAATGTACACAGAGGAATTTTACTGAGGTATTGCTTAGCAAAAGAAACCTCATATCTCTGATACTCTCTGCTGATTGGCTATTATAGCTGCTCGTTGCTTTGCAGCCATGTTTCAATTGGCTGGACTCCTAGCGGCTCTTGGTCTCTCATTGGTTAACTTGTATGAGCAGCACATGGGGGTGCACATGCTCAATTCCTTTATGGTCTGGAGTATTTGGCTTCTCTGACATAAACAGCATTGTGTGCTGGGATTCTCCTTTTCACCTCCTCCTTTCTGTCATGGACTGACTGTTGTTCCACCCTGGTGTAGTTGATTGTTACATTGGTGGACACATGATTGAGGGTTTAAGGGATTGTTTTCTGTGAATAGGTAAAGCAGAGCTGAGAGGCTTTTTTTACACCTGTGCTGTATGTGCATCATGGTTTCAGGAGGGATCTGGTGGACTACATATGTTCTCTTCTGGGACAGCAGCAGAATGGGAGCCACACAGACAAATGTAATGCTTTGAGGCTGATCAAGAACTCTGGAGGAGCGTCACAGCATCTCTTTCTGTAGAAGACACCAGCTGCTAAACAAAGATAAGGAGTTGCATAACAAAGCAGCAAGCTGTGTGCAAGCTTCTGTGTCACAAAGGACCCGTTTTTCTTTCTTTTACTTTATTAATTGTTTTATCCACCAAGAATATCCACGTTTCTCTCCTCTGAAGACTTCAACGGCCAAAATCAATGATTTCTTCCGTGGTCTTTAAATTTTTCATCACTCAAGCCTCAAGCTGATGGGTATATTGACTTCTTCGGATGTTTTCTTTGATTGTGTTGAACATATTTTCTCATTTTTTGTTTCCCAGCTTGTCATCTACAGACTTGGGTTTCATCTTGGTCATCGATCGCAGGCAAGACCGATGGGCGGCTGTCAAGGGGACACTACTTCGCATTGCAGTAAGTTGGCCTGTGTGTCTGCAGCTCCGATAATCTGTCTGAATTTCAGTGTCAACATCAGTTAAACAGTGACAGAAATTTAATCAGCTGCTGGTGTGAAATGACCCTTCACGCCTCACGCCTGGGGGGGGGACATGTTGAGCAACGTCACCATTGTCACTCCCACTAAACTGATCTTGAAGTGTTTTGTCTTCACCTTCTTCACTGTGTGTTTCTATAGTAGCAGAAAATAAAGACACTGTAAATCAAATATTTATCATTTGTGTGGACACCTTCATTTTAATTGAACTATTTCTGCATCAAATTGATTAATTCACTGTCTGGTTTAGAGATTAAATTAACTAAATAAGTAGATAATCTAAACTCAGATTAATTAAGGACCCCCCAGCAGACACAGTTTAATGAGTAACTTCATCCATCCATTTCCTTTACTCGCTTTGTGCAGGGTTGAGGGGGAGCTGGTGCCTATCTCTAGCAGTCATTGTGGGGCCAGGTACACAATGGACAGGTCTTAAGGTCTATCACAAGACAAACACTTGCACTCCCACTCACAATTAGAGTTGCATTTGGGCCTAAAAAATCTGACCTGACCCAGCCCAAGTCCGTAGCCATAATTTCCGAACCCCACCCGACCCGATGAATTACCAGTAATTACAGGTCCGAACCCAGAAAAAAACCCAATATTTTTAATTAAGCTTTGACTGCTTAAATAGTTATTAACGGTCGGCGGACGCTCGTGGCTGAATAAAAGGAGCAGAAGATCGGAGCTGAGGGGGTGTTTGTCCTTTCATGGCCATCAAGGCCATCAAATTCCTTAGATAGAGAACTTTACTAATTGGCTTTTATGTATGTGAATGTTTCTGTAAAGTGCCCTGAGACAACTTTGTTGTGACTTGGCGCTATATAAATAAACTGAATTGAATTGAATTGAAAGTGCATTAAATCCCTGTTTCTGCCTGCATTCTGCATTATTCAGACAAGGACCCTGCTCTGACATGTCTGCTTTGGGTTTTCACCTGTTTGGGTCATGGGCCGCTTCGCGTCCACTGAGTGCAGCTGCTAAATGAACGTACATTTGGGCGATGAATCACTTCCTGGCAGTATAGTCCCATCGGAAGCTTAACTGAACTCTTTTGTACCTCTTTCAAGGCTGGTCAGCTTGTAGTCAAATGGCCGCGTGTGGCTGGTGATGTAGTATGGCAAGCCATGTTGCCATATAATTTGAATGTATGGCAAACCATGTTGCCATATATTTGGATTGTCAGACGTGCACATTCGCCTACGCAATCAAAAGCCCAACACCGACCCGGTCCGCCCATCCAGCACATTATTATGGTCCGGCCCAGTCCAAATTCGGGTCGGGCCAGGCCGGGCTTCAGGCCTGGGTTTCAGGCCCGGGTTAGAAATGACAGCTCTACTCACATCTAGTGACAATTTAGACTAATCAGTTACTCTAACATGCTTATAACTTGTTAGGTTGTTTGTTTTTTTCAGCTGTGTAACCACCCGCTGCATGCATTTGCAAAAAAGAGATACTTTTGCTTCCTTGTTGGCAATAATAATTAATTAATTCTCCCCCTAACTTTTAGATTTATCTCTAATTTCTGTGTCTTTTGCGGCAGGTAGCTCCATCAGTCTCAAACATGTGAATAACTATATAAACATAAAACACCTTCACTGGTTTTGTTCAGCTGCTCCAGGTTGTTTTGTGTGAACAGTGAGCCACAGTCTGGTTTGTCTGTGTCTCATGATGCCTGTTGAAGCTTTGGCAGCAGAGTTTGGTGCTTTTTGGTGATTAAACGATGAGCGTTAATAAGAACACGGGTTTCTAATGTATTTTTTGGGAAAATGTAAACTTGTCTTTATAAAGTGGGGAAGCTTTTGTTACCTCCCATTGCAGAATTTCGCTGATGATACTGGAAACAAAACATGTTTGCAATTTACAGATTTTCTATGGAGATCAAAAATCCATTTGTAATATTTAGTTTTCTTTAAGCATACAAAATAAAAAAAGTCAAGTCCTTCATCAAAACTAAAAAAAAATGAGGTAACTGGAGCTGAATATTGGATATTAGAGCAAAACCACTCAGTCATTTCTAATTAAATTAAGCTTTTTTTAATCCCATAAGGCGGATTTGATGGGTTGACGGGCACCGATACTCCTGCTTCAAGTATTTCAGACAGGCTTTTTGTTAACAACATGAAGAAGCTTTTAGTTGAGATGTTCAGTTTCTATATAGATATTAGGCTGTGTGAATTAAAATGTTTGTTTCTGCCTACAAAATGAGTTTAGTGTGAGTTTGTCAGTGCCACTGAATGTGTTTATGAATTATTTTCGGTTGTGTTTATGAATGTAGGTCAGTGTGGTTACAAAGGAAGTCATGTGGCTGGACAAAAAGTGCTTCTGAACTGGTTCTAATGATCTCCAGTCATTCTGTTGCTCCCTCAAGGTGGTCTTTTTTATTTGGGGCCATGGTATTCTCTCTGTCTACCATTTCTAAACAATAAAAAGCAAGCAGACCATGAAAATAAAATCTAATTCTTGTAGAGCCAAGCATCTTACATTGCACATTTACAAAGCCAAATGTGATATGTTTTTGTTGTAACTGCAAATGTATCCATAATATGAAACTACTAGTCCTTAGCTTAAAAACAAAAAAAATCCTTGAGAATATGTAAATTATGGGTCATAAATGCATGGGTTCTTCTTTAAAAGTGGTTCAAGACAATTATTGATGGTATATTGTTACAACAAAGAAGTGAAATTAGTTTGAAATTGTTATTCAAATTTTAATTAAAATATCATTGTTCAAATATCAAACCATTGTCAGACTTGCAGAGCATCCTCACATTTTAGTGCACAATACTGCCAAAGTCATAGAGTTATTAATCATAGATGCACCAAACAATAGACCTACCCCCTTTGATCCCCCTCCCCTTTACTCACCCAAAATTCAAAATAATAATTTAAAAAAGCTGATCTACAGATTTTAGGTTTTGTTTGCCAGATGGCAAAAGCCCCTTTTCATTTCACTTATCTTTTCCTTCCAGTAGATGAGTAAGGACAAACAGGTTGATTTATTCATTCTGCTCAACGTGCTTTTCCCCAAGAGATTTATATTAACAGTGGATTGACCATCACTTCTGCTTACACCGGCACTCCCCTCCCCGGCTGGGTTGGAGGGCCAATCAGTCGAGCCACCCATTTAGGTCATTAGCTAATTAAAGCTGCGTTACCAATAGCAGTGCTTTGGGAGGGGAGATAAGTGTCTTCCCTTCAGCCGTCATCCAGCTGCTTTCACAGCAGTCTGTCAGTGAGTGTCAGCCATGACATTTTAATTAGTTTTTTTTTTGGTTATTGGTCCAGCTGGCCTAACTGTCAAAGTGGTTTTAACTTGTATGTATATGTAAATATATATATATATATATAATGATTAACAAAACAATTGCACCATTTAATAGTTGTTAGATCGTTAAAAAATATCATGTGCTGTAACCCTTTATTTACAGATCTTTTTTTTTTTTTAAGTTTTTTTTTTAGATAACTGTTACCGACTGTAGTCTTTTGCCCTATGATCCGTATTGAGGATATTTCAAATAGGTGTTTAAAAGTGTCGCTCCTGCTTTCCTTACTGTTTCCACAAGGCTCATCACAAATGATTGAACCAGTTTTCAATTAAAATCCATTTAAAGCAAAAAGAGCAAATGAGGCAACAGGCCATGTTTCAGTGGATGTGTAATGAGGAAGTAGGAGGAGCCTATTTGTGTTGTTGTTGTTGTTGTTGTGTTATTAATGGATTTTCTTCATCCTATTTGTAATTTCAGGGCTCCTTCCCCGGGAACCTGCAGCTAGTTCTGGTTCTGAGGCCCACCACCCTCCTGCAGCGCACAATCTCAGACATCCTTTTCAAGTTCAACAAGGATGAGTTCAAGATGAAGGTGCCGGTACGTGTAATCTATTTCTATAATGTAATGAATCTTTCTTCTTTATGTTGCTTCTCTTAATCAAACCCTCAGACAAAGATTTCAGAACGCATTTTTATAGAAAATGTATTTGTTGCTTCTATATCAGAATCAGAATCAGAATAAGCCTTATTATCATTGTACTGAAATACAGTGAGATTATTCGTACAGTCGTCAGAAAGATGGATGGAGTGCACATTACTGCTGCTAAAAAGTGTGGCACCTTATTCTTTATCAGAATACTTTTAGATAGAAAAAGGGAAGAACCATAAGGATAGATAGTGGTATTACAAAAGCGATTTCTTCACATTGTATCCGAGGCCAAACGGGGGAGTCAGATTCAGATAAGCCACAATTGTTGAATTTCTTCAGGCAGACTGTTTGTTTCTTGTCGGCCTTGAGCCCCGCTGGAACTTTCTTGGTCCAGATTTTGTCGATTTCGTCAAAAGTTCATCTCATCAGATCCATAATGGTATTTTTAGTTCGGGAGGTGTGTACCAGGAGCTCCGAGACACACAGAGAGCAGAAGCAGGAGGAAAGGGAGAACAGGGGGAGGGAGAGCAGGAGCGGCTGTCTTGAGCGAGAGCCAGAGTAGAAGGTTAGGTCAGGGTTTTTCGTTCTATATATTACCAGAATTTCTTTCTCTCACATAACTCACAGTAAATGTTTTTATGATCACATGACGTGGACGTTCCTCCCTCAGGTGATAATGCTGAGCTCCATATCTGAGCTGCACTCATATGTCGACCGAACACAGCTGACTCGGGAACTCGGGGGAACGCAGCGGTACTGTCATGAGAAGTGGATCTCACACCGCACTGTATGAACACACATGCACACACACACAGACAATATTGTGCAGTGACCAAAGGGAACTCTTTACTACTTAGAAAAGAATGCATACAATACATGCATTCCTTTCTCTTGTGTATTATTTATGATTCGTTAAATTACAGTAGTTAAAGGACATACTCAAGTTCTTAAATAGTCTCAAACTGGAGTAACAGATCATTTATTTTCTCTACTGCTGGTTTAAAATTCAGTACGTATGATAGTTCAAAACATTTTTCTTTAGCTTCATAATGACTTTTTACTTGGCTGTTTTTAATAATTGCTGTGGTCTCTGAATATATGTGACAATCAGGCTGTAAACTCCTCATTTCAGAGCTTTTCTAGACTCACTTACAGTCCTGCTTTCTGACTGGTGTTTATTTGCCTCTCTAATGGCAACCTTTTGTTTGTGCAGTATTTTTGCACCTCATCTTCTATTATAAAGGCCAGAAAAGTTGGGTGAATTGAAGTGGACTGCCTTACTTCAAAAGAATACATTTAGAAGTTCAAATAAAATCGCGAACCCATAAGTGTTCTGTTTTAAGTAATAACAAAAGGTCCAAGAGTTAAATCGCTTAAAATCTTTATTTTTTGATGAGCATGACTGCTGGAAATCTCAGTAATCTTTGTGTTCTTCAGGCTATTGAAGGCTTTGCACTGATGGTGAAGAAAACAGCACAGACCTTGCAGTCATTTGGGACTGAACTGGCAGAAACTGAACTCCCAAAAGAAATCCAGACCATCACTGTCCTGAGGAGCACACACACCAGCAAGAGAGACAAGATGAAGGTATTCCTGTTAGTATACATGCACATTCCTCTGCTTCTTCTCTTTGTGAATTTATAGTGTACAACTAATGCATGCACTAGGAATTATAAAAGTGTCTGTGCATGCCTTTAAAGGAGGACATACTGGTGGCTTTGGGTCAAGGCAGCCGATTGCTGGAGAGCATCAATGAACCCATAATGAGAGACCCCGACCACAACATGAACCAGGACGAACTGGAGAACTTAGCCACAGTTCAAAGGTTAGTCGCACGAGCTCAGGCACAACAGCAGGACAGTACAAGAACACAAACAGCTTTAAATACTTTCATATACATGAGCTAATCTTCATACAAAAACAGAGAATAAAAATGTGGTGGTAATAGAAGTTATAATGTTGGTCAAAGTTACGTTCATAAAACAATTACAAACTGTGCGTTTGTTTTTACTAAAATATACCAAGTGAAAAAATCTTTTTAAGTTTAATTGTAGGCTGATTAAAATGAAGCAGTATGCACCCTATGATGACTTGTTCATTTACTCATCATAATTAATTAATAACACTTGGGAACACTACAATTCAGCTTGAACACAATGATAGATTTAGGTTTATTTTTCATATGCAGATCAACACAAGGTCAACAATGCAGTGAAATGTTCAGGATGAGAAGAACTGAGTCGACTCGCTAAAACGAACACGAAATACTAAAGCATGCAATAACTGTGCAAAATAAAGTACCAAAAAGTGAAAAAGAAATATAATATTTACAAGGTCCAAAAGAAATAAACGCCAACATGGTAGAATATAACAGTGCAAGTAGGATGAAGTAGTATAAATATTTTACAGGGAGCAATATAAGCTAAAATGCACATGATATATATTTATATCAGGTTGTGTGACAGATTATTGCACAGGTAGTGAGTAACATTGAGATGAATTATGATGGCAAGGGAGTGGCACATAATTCAGCAGCAATAAACATATTAGTTGTCACAGATGTGGTTTGATGCAGTTATTGCCAATTGTTCAGTGTTATTTATCAAGAGTACAGTAATCTGACAGCTTGTGGGTAATAGCTGTCCTTTAGTCTTTTTGTACGTGATGGCAGACTCCTGTACTGTCTGCCTGAGGGTATTAGACGGAAGAGTCCTTGTGCTGGGTGGGTGTGGTCCTTAATGATGCTGCGTGCTTTACGCAGACATCAGCTGTGGTAGATGTCCTGGATGGTGTGGAGACAGCTACCAGTGATGTCCTCTGCTGTTTGCACCACCCTCTGTAGTGCTCTCTGGCTCTGCAGTTCCCATACCACCCTGTGATGCAGCCTGTCAGCAGACTCTCAATGTTGCACCTATAGGTGTGGTGGTCTTTTCAGGTCTCTCTTTTAAATGAGTCCTCGTGGCTCATTGAGACTAACCTGCTTAAATAAAGGTTGAATGAAAAAAGATACAGTAACATAAACTGTTGTGAAACAAAATTAAATGTAAACATTTGTTACTGTGTTGGCAGGTAGACAAGTTATAATTTATTGTCTCTTTAAGGCACTTAATTCAGCTTCCGGGTCACGCAGTCATGTGACTTTCAACAAAAGCTTCTTCTTTTTTTTATAAAAAGAAAAAAAAATCATTTAAACTATAAGAACAAGTTGCTAATATCTGACCTGCATCCATACACAATAACAAAGTCCAAAATTAAAAAGAAACCACGACCAAAGAGAGACTTATTCAGTGTTCAGATGTCATGGAAATGTATAAACAAAAACTCTGCCACAGTCAAGATTTTTAATTTGCCCACTTTTCAGGGGAATAATGGAGAGAATGTACATCAAATATGTGTTTAGTTTGCTTCAGCTTAAAGACTGTTTAGAATCACGCTGAAGATAGAAATTTACCGTATTAGCCACCATACATGTCATACCAACGTATAAGTCGTATCAGTCCAAAAATGTCTAATAAAGTTTAAAAAAAGAACATAAATATGTTGCTTCGCTGTATAAGTTACATCTATTATGCATCACTGCTGATGCGTCGCTCTGTTACGCGTCACCACTGATAACTCGGAAATGTGGGCCGGTGTTGTGCCAAAAATTGATTGGCTGCCAAATGGCAACTGCGGGAGTGCGCACGGGAGGACTTTAACAAGAATTTAACAAGATTAACACTTAAAAACAATTGTTTGTTTGCTTGAAACTATAGTAAAGGTGTGTCTCAGTTGAACTTTTCCTTACTAAATGCACTTTAATGATTAAATCAGCTGCATTTCACCTGGGCGTTGCGGCAAAATGCAGCTGATTTGACGTTTGCTCCAGGAGTTCTGGAGCAAGATAAAGGTGGCTTTGTATGGCAAGCCAAGTGTCTCATTAATAGCTGCTTTTACTTTTTAATGAGACACTTGGCTTGCCATATTAGTCTAGGGCCCTCTAGTGGCTCAAAATGGTAGTGTTCCATATTTTCCATGTCAAAATGAATGAAATCGTCAGATCTCAGCCAAAAATTGGTTTATAAATATGTAGGGAAAAAACATAAGTATGTCACTTCACTGTATAAGTCGCAGGGCATGCTAATTTATGCAAAAAAAAAAACTGTGACTTATACAGCAAAAAATACTTTGTACAGTAATTTGGCTTGAATTACTTTTTGAGGTCAATGAATTACTGATCTGTAAAAGTTTTACAAGATTTTAAATCTCTAAATATATACAACATGTTAACAATCAGAAGACAAACATCGAACAAATAAATCCACTAAATCAAACGAAAATATTCTTCAGACACTGTTTTATTTATTGTGGCATCAGTCAATATAAATTATGGGCAGTTCTATCATTCCTACTCCCTTTAAACATTATAGAAATATTACGGTTGTGCTCTGCAAAAAGCTAAAATAATTTGGTTTCAGTAGAATTACAAGAAATATTCTGGGTTCATATTAAGGCTCAAACCCCATTCTCCCTCGCTTTAGTCAAATTACACGTTGTGCCACAGGAAACGTGATCACAACAAACTCTTTTTAGAGTTTATGTGCACTCCCCTCTTGTCAGGGTTCAATGGACCAAACTATTGTTAGGTTGATGGGGGGGGAGGGGAAAAATTTATGAAAGGCATAAATACATTGTTTATACTTTGTAAATAATGATGGGAATGAATTATTTTCTTTATTTTCTTTAAAATTATATTTTTTTCAAACGATTTATTTTGGGGGCCAATATTTATTTTTCCAAAATTGTGGGGTCCAGACCCACCCGACCACCCTGGGATTTCCACCCAGTTGGGGACTAATATATATTTAACACTGTTTTAGTAATGTGAGCTTGATAGTTGCTATAAATTAAAAGAAAAATACTTAATCAAATGTAAAGATCCATCATTCTTACAGAAAACATCTCATATTCTTAGCAGAGATGTAATGAAAAAAAAAAGAATAAAGCCAACAGACTTGCTCTAGTTTTTATATCATGTCATTCCTGTCTTGTCTACCACGTATGAGGAACGACGGCAGTAGAACCCTGTTTGTATCCTGAGAAACCCAGACATTAACCTCATATAACCTGCACAAACATAAACATAAAACTAAACATAAAAAATAAAAAGTAATAATTTAGTTAACAACAAAGTCCATGCTCAATAATCCAGGTATACAATCCAGTATTTTTCAGTCAGGTCATCTGGACAGTTTCTTTTTTTTATAATAATTTAATTGAGTAATTTAGTTAGCATCCCTTTAAAGTACTCATCTGCTCACACAAGCTCATGTTCGTGCTGCTGTTGTTCGGCGTATTGTTTTGCGCTATTAGTGTTTAGCATATTTCTTAGTGTATATCTTAGATCCTTATTACTGTTTCTTTTTACACTATATTTTTGCTGTTGTTGGATGTGACTGGGACCCTGTGTACACAATTTAATTCCACCTTATGTACTACGTGTGATGCGAACGATAATAAAACCTATTTGAACTTGAACTTAAAGTCCACAGTAGTCGTTTCATGTTAAGGTATTTCTCTGTTGTTGTTTTTTTATACCAGGCTGTTGTCTCAGCTGGACGAAACAGAACGAGCTTTTGATGAGTTCTGGGTGAGACATCAGACCAAACTGCAGCAGTGTCTCCAGCTGCGACACTTTGAGCTTAACCACAGAGAGGTGAGCTGGAGCCGATCACCTCAAAGGAAACCTCATTCACTAGACTTTAGTCGACATGATCTGCAAACTTTACAACTGGTGCCTCTGGCTGCAGGTGAGAGCTCTGCTGGATCAGGTGTCTGAGAAACTTGGACTCTTCTCTGAGGTTGGGATTAGCCCTGCTCATGCAGATCACATCTTCTGTGAACTCACCGCCTTTGAAGAGCGAGTCTGTGTAAGTCACCCCTGACCCCTAAAGTTGACATGGCCTAAAACAGTGTTAATGGCTCAACACCATTATTTAGACTCTGTACTGTTTTTAATGGGAACACTGCATGTTAAATATGCTATGCTACCATATATTATTGGTCATATATGCTCATAATTTATCAAATGTGGTTTGCTTTTAAAGAGTTAAACATTTGCATCAAGCATCTTTAAAATACTGATGGAAACTTGAGTAAAAATTGATTAAATTCATCTTAGATGCTAGTTCAAAGGGAAATTATTAGTGAAAAGATGTTGGAAAACCTCCACTCTTTCCTGTTTTGACTGTTCAGGAGGCTTTGGACAGAGCTTCTACATTGTGTCATGAAGGCCAAGAGCTGATCCAAAGCTCGCACTATGCTGAGGACTCCATTCAGCCCAAATGCAGTGAGCTCAGAGAAATCAGTGAGAACGTGAGCAGCAGTCTGAAGACCAAGAAGGAGTACCTGCTCAAAGCCATGGAGCTGCACCACCGACTGGAAAAGGTTAGAAGACAACACATCAGTCATAGCTGCCTCTTACTGATTGCATTTTTATAATTTCATCCTCCTCTGCTCTTCTCTCCAGGCATCCAAATGGGTTGATGATGGTATTTATCTGTTAGCATCTCAGCCAGTGGATAAATGTCAGTCTCATGAGGGGGCGGAGCTGGCTTTGCAGGAGCTGGAGCATTACCTGGACAGTGCCGGCCAGAATCAGCTGACCGACCTGTGTGCCATCTGGGCAGATTATGAAGTGGTGCTGAACCAGCAGTTCAGGGTAAGGAAACCAGTATGATGTGGATCCAGACTCTGCTGGTTTCAGTAGTGACATTAAAATTAAACTTTTTCAGACACTTGTGTTGGAAAATGGATCATTTGCTAAATCTCTGGTGACCCCTGTTGATTAAATTGTTAAACACGAGAAATTGTGCAATTTATGGCTTATTATAAACTATCTTTAAGACAAAACAGTCACAATTTCTGTGTGCAAGATATCCGTCTTGAATACGTGATTTCCTCTGTGATCAGCGCCTCAGTTCAGGTATCAAGATACAGTTATGTGTAAATTTACTCCAAGCATTCGTTTGATTTAAAGACTGTGCTGACTTAAATAACCCCACAAACAGCTTTGGTTATTGATGACTTCTCTGTGATGGCTTTCTGTATGCCAGGACCAAGTGGAGAAGGTTTACCAGAAGCAGGCGTCCATGCAGGGGATGTTTGACAAGAGGATGGTCAGTCTCAAGAAGCTGGCGGCCAAACAGACGAGGCCGGTGCAGCCGGTCGCTCCGAGACCCGAAGCTTTTATCAAGTCGCCACTAAACTCACCCGGTGAGTCTTCACACAAACATACACACAATCCAGCCTTCAGAGTTTTATACTCTGTTTTTACTTTGCTTGGCTAATCAACCTTAGCAAATACAAAAATTACTATAACTCAGTTGGTTTTTACCAATAAAAGGCTCAAATTTGCTGTGTTAGTAGATGAGTCATTCCTAACACATTCTCTGAGTGTGTTTTGTGCAAAATCTGTTTAAAACTTTGGCAAGACATCATTCAAGCAATGCTACTTTTATGTTTCTTTGTTCTAGATAAACATTTATTCATATTATAACCTATATCTGCTATACTTATTGGCTACAACAGTAGCGAACTACACTATTACTCAGCATCATACATGCACAAGAAACAAATATGCAAATGCAGATTGGATCATAATACAAATAAGAAATTAGAAAATAATCTATGACACTGTAATCTGTTAGTTTTAAAAGTAGATATCCTGATGCATGCTCAATAATCCAGGTAGAAAAATCAAAAAAAGTTAAATCTGGTCCTCTGGACATTCAAAAAAACCCAAAACAAAGCAAAACAACAAAAAATGTAGAAACGTTTCGTCTCTCATCCGAGAGACTTCCTCAGTCTGAGGTGCTGTTTTCAGCTCAGTCTCTTAAATAGCACCGTCTCAGGGTGGATCAACCAGTTTTGCTGCTGACAACCAAAACCAGCTGATCACATGCTCAAGAAGGACCATCAGCCTAACAATGGATCATTAGCACACTGATGGCTGTTTACTGTTCACAGAGGGATGAGTGATACTAGCAATCACAGCATTGTAAGAGGGGGACAGTTGAACCCGGAGGCCTCCACCCCTGTTTAATGATGGACGGTTTCTTTTCACAAAGATGGCCTCCTTTACTCCTCTCTCAAACCATCGTTCCTCTCTGTCCATGATGTGAACATCTTCATCCCTGAAAGAGTGACCGCTGGCCTGGAGATGAGTGTAGACCTCAGAGTCCTGGCCTGATGATGTTGATCTTCTGTGCTGGTCCATCCTTTTGGCCAGTGGCTGTTTTGTTTCCCCGATGTAAGACTGATCACAGCCCTCCTGACACTGAACAGCATACACAACATTACTCTGTTTGTGCCGGGGGACTGGATCTTTGGGATGAACCAGTCTTTGCCGTAATGTATTTTGGGGTTTAAAAGCCACTGGGACGTTATGTTTAGAAAATAAACGTCTCAGTTTCTCTGATACTCCCTCAACATATGGAATGACCACTGGTCTGGGTCTGGGTTCCTCCTTTTCACCTGTTGGCTGACTGGAGTCCTGTTTGGGTTTCTTCTCTGCTTTTAGGAAGGCCCAGTTAGGATATCCACATTGCTCTAGAGCCTGTCTTGTGAGGGATTTCTCCTTCTGCCTGGCTCCTGAGCTAGTGGGGACGCTGTCTGCTCTGTGATACAGAGTCCTGATGACTCCTAACTTGTGCTCCAAAGGGTGATGGGAGTCAAACTGCAAATACTGGTCTGTGTGGGTGGGTTTGCGGTAAACCTCAGTTTGCAAATGTACTGCAAATGTCCAGAGGACCAGATTTAACTTTTTTTGATTTAAAAGTAGAGTTTCAAAAAGAGTAGGTTTTGTAAATGTACCCATTATGCAAGTTTTAATCTTTTCTAAAATGATTAATTTGCATAAAGAAATGTGTGCAAATCATATTGCTTGTGCAAATAGCTTTTTTTTATTTAAATAGCTTTAAAAGCACAACTATTTGTATCGTGTTTTTTCATTTTATACTGTATGTACCGTACTTTCTGCCGTACACATCATACCTCCGTATAAGTCACATCAGTCCAAAAATGTCTAATAAAATGGGGGGAAAAAAAAAACATAAATATGTCACTTCGCCATATTAGTCTCAACTATTATTCATCACCGCTGACCACCCAAACATGTGGGCCGGTGTTGTGCCAAAAATCGATTGGCTGAAAAATAGCGGCCACGGGAGCGTGCACGGGAGGACTTTAACAAAAATTTAACAAGATTAACATTTAAAAACAATTAGTTTGCTCGAAATTATAGCAAAAGTTTGTCTCAGTCTAACTTTTCTGTAATAAATACACTAATTGGTCAAATCAGCTGCATTTCAAAAATTGATTTGCGGCTGCTGGAGCGTGCAGAGGGAGGACTCGCTGTGCATTTCTTCCAAATTGAACAAGATAACCACCTAAAAACAATTATTTGTTTGCTCGACATTATAGTAAAGGTGTGTCTCTGTTGAAATTTTCCTTAATAAATGCGCTTTAATGGTCAAATCAGCTGCATTTCTCCTGGGCGGTGCAGCAAGATGCCGCTGATCTGATGTTTGCTCCAGGAGTTCAAGAGGGAGACGAAGGTGGCTTGGTATGGCAGGCCAAGTGTCTCATTAATAGACACTTTTACCTGTTAATGAGACACTTGGCCTGCCATATAAATCAAGGGCCCTCTAATGGCTGAAAATGGTAGTGTTCAATATTTTCCATGTCAGAATGAATGAAATCGTCAGATCTAAGTCAACAATTGGTTATAAATATAAATATGGGGGGAAAAAACGTATATTGGTCGCTTCGGTGTATAAGTCGTAGGACTTGCAAATGTATGCAAAAAGTTGCAACTTATAGAGTGAAAAATACTGTAGTAATTTTCAATGTCCGCTTTTATCATAGTGTTTATTGACAGAAAAAAGAGCAGTCCATTCAATGAGTACATTTTCTTTCACTTTTACTTTACATTCCCTTTTTTAAAATGTTATTTGGAAATTATAAAACCTAGTGGCTCTTTTGTTAGAAGAGTCTGTGATGTCCACCTCTCAAAGGGCTTCTGTTGTCTTCCTTATTAAGTGCCACTTATTTTAGGTGCTATTAAGGCAAGTCAAGCACACATATTTTGTGTCTTTGAAGCCACGTTGTCAGAATTAGGTCTGACATTGATCTGCTGGGGAAAAAACAACTTGTGAAGAAACGCCCTTGAACTGATTAAAAGATATGTTGAATAAATGCTTGAGTGTCGTGTCCTCCAATGCCTTACGTCCCCACATTGTCACAGACACTGGTTATTGCATTTTTTCTGGTAACAGCCTTAATGGTCTTTTTCTGGTCAATCTGATGTATGTAAATTCCAAGAAGTCATTCTCCTCATGTGTAATAACGTTGAAGTGGTTGTTTCTTCTCGCTCAGCGCGCAAAGCTCAGCAGGAGAAGTACGGCTTCTGCGACAGCTGTGACAAAGTATGTATCACGATGGTTTTCATGGCTGCACGTTTTTGTCTGTGGAATATCAAAGTGATCAGATTTATTTATCTTTCCTTGTGGAAATGTCAGAATGAAGACGGTAACAGCAGACATGCGTCTCTGTCAGAGGAGGAGGAGAACCTGGCTGTGCTCAGGCGGTGAGCGCAGCAGCTCTTTCATCTGTAATCACATTTCACAGCCGATGGGCTGGATGGAAACCATTAGCTCATTATATATAGCTCCATGCTCAGTCCTTCTTCTTGTTGTGTCTGCAGCCACGTCATGAATGAGCTGCTGGAAACTGAGAGAGCCTACGTGGAGGAGCTTCTCTGCGTACTACAGGTGTTTCTCTAATCCACCGATGGGTTCCTGCCTGGTGTCTGTTTTAACCTGTGTTAGAAATATGTTTTTATTTTGTTGTCATTACAGGGATACGCTTCCGAGATGGATAACCCTGCAATGTCTCACCTTATTCCTGCAAATTTGCAAAACAAAAAGGAGGTTCTGTTCGGCAACATGACAGAAATTTACCACTTTCATAAAAGGTAAAAGAGCCTGCCACCAAGTGACATTTGCAAAGTCCCATAAAATGCTTCTTTTTTCAACGAGCCCACCATCCTTTGTTTTTTCAGAACTTTTCTGAGGGAGTTGGAGCAGTACACAGACTGTCCAGAGTTAGTCGGACGGTGCTTTCTGGAGAGGGTGAGTGTACAGACAACAAAGAGCTGTTGTCTTTAAAAATATAGAAAATAAAACATTACATTTTGTGCACGGCTCAGATGACGGACCTGCAGATCTACGAGAAGTACTGTCACAACAAGCCTCGCTCTGAGAGCCTTTGGAGGCAGTGCTCAGACTGTGCCTTCTTCCAGGTCAATAATCCTCCAAATCAACACAACATTAATAAATCAGCTTAACGTTGGGTTTTGTCTGACGTAGTTTTACGTTTTTGATTCTTCAGGAGTGTCAGAAAAAGCTGGAACATAAGCTGGGTTTAGATTCATATCTGCTGAAGCCGGTTCAGAGGATTACCAAATATCAGCTGCTGCTAAAGGTACGAATGCATTCGTTGGACTCTTCAGAAGTAATTGTGTGTTTTTCTATACTTGATATGAGATTCCCATTTGGGTTTTCCTGACTACAGGAAATGCTGAAGTACAGTAAGGGCTGCGACGGGACTGGCGACCTGCAAGAGGCATTGGCGTCTATCTTGGGAATCCTCAAGGCTGTCAACGACTCCATGCACCTCATCGCTATCACAGGATATGAGGTGAGATTAAAACAGGTCTAAAGCTTCTTAACTCAAAAAAAAACAAAACATAAAAGTACCATATTTTTTGGACTATAGGTGCATTAAGCAAAACAAAACAGTCAGATAAGTCAAACTTTATTCAACTCATTCACAATAGCCACATAAAATTGATTTGAGGTCAGTAAGCACAACCAGAATGAATAAATAAGGAGCACCTGATTATAAGGCTCAATGTCAATTTTTGAGAAAATTAAAGGATCTTAAGTGCACCTTATAGTCCAAAAAGTACTGTAATGTGTTTATTTAACTTGGATTGTTTTGAGAAGAATGCAAACAGACAGGTAAGGGCTTTATATATATATATATATATATATATATATACATAGTAATGTTGTATTTTCTCTGTTTCCAGCAAGAAAGCACTTTGTCTAAGTATAAAGTAAAAATAGGGCTGTTTGATAAAAGTCATTGTTGCATCAGAAAGTGCAGCATCATGGTTATTTGTTCATCATGATGCAAACAGATCACTTCCATAAATGATAAAATATGAAACTATGTGAATATTTTTTTTCATTTGGAGACTGGAAACACTCGTAGAAAATGTAATATGTGTAAAAATTTAAATAAAGTATCAATAAAGCCTGCCACAGTGGGTGAAAATATAAATATGAATGCAGTTTAGGTGTAAACTTTCTACTGTAATTCAAGAAGTTTAATAAAATCTTTAACTATTTCAGATGTAATTTCCATAAATTCATACCATTCTCGTAAACTGAAAAATATTTGTACTAGTTTTACGTTTCCTGATGCATGCTCAATAATCCAGGTAGAAAAATCTAAAAAAGTTAAATCTGGTCCTCTGGACATTCAAAAAAACAAAACAAAGCAAATCAACAAAAAATGTAGAAACGTTTCGTCTCTCATCCGAGAGACTTCCTCAGTCTGAGGTGCTGTATTCAGCTCAGTCTCTTAAATAGCACCTTCTCAGAGTGGATCAACCAGTTTTGCTGCTGACAACCAAAACCAGCTGATCACATGCTCAAGAAGGACCATCAGCCTAACAATGGATCATTAGCACACTGATGGCTGTGTACTATTCACAGAGGGCTGAGTGATACTAGCAATCACAGCATTGTAAGAGGGGGACAGTTGAACCCGGAGGCCTCCACCCTTGTTTAATGATGGACAATTTCTTTTCACAAAGATGGCCTCCTTTACTCCTCTCTCAAACCATCGTTCCTCTCTATCCAGGATGTGAACATCTTCATCCCTGAAAGAGTGACCGCTGGCCTGGAGATGAGTGTAGACCACAGAGTCCTGGCCTGATGATGTTGATCTTCTGTGCTGGGCCATCCTTTTGGCCAGTGGCTGTTTAGTTTCCCCGATGTAAGACTGATCACCCTCCTGACACTGAACAGCATACACAACATTACTCTGTTTGTGCCGGGGGACTGGATCTTTGGGATGAACCAGTCTTTGACATAAAGAGTGCATTTCTGTTGATGATGCAGTAGAGGTGGTCAGTTCAAGATTAAAATCAGACACCACTCTGAGCAGCAGGACCACGATTTCCACAAAACAACTGTGTCAACTCTTGAAACTGTGCCTGCAGTCAACATGGGAAGCAATTATTATAGGCAGAAACATGGGTGTGCTATGGGGTCTCCAGTTTCTCCTATTGTTACCAACCTGTACATGGAGGAGGTAGAAAAGAGAGCCTTGACGTCCTTTTCAGGGACACCACCAAGTCATTGGTTCAGGTATGTTGATGACACCTGGGTTAAAATCAAATCTCAGGAAGTCCAACATTTTACTGACCACATCAACTTTGTGGATAAATACATCAAGTTCACACGAGAAGATGTAAAAAATGGCATAACTAAACAGCCACTGGCCAAAAGGACGGACCAGCACAGAAGATCAACATCATCAGGCCAGGACTCTGCGGTCTACCTCATCTCCAGGCCAGCGGTCACTCTTTCAGGGATGAAGATCCTGGACAGAGAGGAACGATGGTTTGAGAGAGGAGTAAAGGAGGCCATCTTTGTGAAAAGAAATCGTCCATCATTAAACAGGGGTGGAGGCCTCCGGGTTCAACTGTCCCCCTCTTACAATGCTGTGATTGCTAGTATCACTCAGCCCTCTGTGAACAGTAAACAGCCATCAGTGTGCTAATGATCCATTGTTAGGCTGATGGTCCTTCATGTGAACTGGGTAAGCTCCTCATGCAAGGGTCATTCAGCGTTTGGACA